CAGGAGGCTGGGCCTGCCTGACTAGCCAGTTCCCCTGGCTTTTTCCCTCTGTCCTGCGTTTCTCCCCCGGTCCGGTCATGTCCAGCCTCTGCCCACGTGCTCAGCGGAGCTCAGCTCACGTCCAGCTCTGTGCTGGCCCACGAAGAGCCCCAGGCCATCCTGCTCAGCTTGGCCTCGGCCAGACTCATTTCCACCTCCCTGTATCCGCCCCCGAGCCCTCTCCCTGGAAGTCATTGCCACTTCAGGCCCTGGAATTCAGGCCAAGCAGACGTGGAACAGACCTGGCGTGAAGAAAGGGAGTACAGGATCCTTGCTTCATGGTGGGAAGGCCAGAGCCAGGGCAGGAATGTCCTCTGCTGGCCTTGGCTCTCAGCTGCCCTGCCCGAGCACAGGCCGGCCGCCTGGGAAGCAAATCATGGGGATGACTGACAGCAGAGTCGGAGGGGCTTCCTGGGGTCCCCAACCCCCTCCAGGCCTCCTCCAAGAGCCTTGACATCTGCTGGAAAGACTTACAGATAGGAGGCAGTCTCTGGCCTTCACGCCAGGGGACTCCCATGTCCTCTTCACCTCTGGGGCTCCTGGACACCGGAGGCCTAGGGAGTGGCCCCCAAGACTCCACTGTCCCCCGTCCATGGCTGACCTCAGCAGGCCCCTTGCCGGCCAGCAGCCTGGCTGGGTCATTCTTGCCGCACGTCTCCTGTTACCTTCTGACGTTCCGAACACCCTTTGCTCCTCGGCCCCCAACACGCACAATCGGCATCCTCTCTCTCCCTCCCACATCTCTGATTCAGCCATCAAACGGTGACAGCAAAAAGAAATGATGTTCAATAGGTATAGGGCGGCAGCCAAGGGGGTGGTGGGAGGGGCCTGGCCTTCTGCGGGCCCTGGGGGCAGGGTGCTGGGGGTTGAGATGAAGAACGAGGACAACGTCTTGGGTTCAGGAGTCCCCCAGCCCCCACCCTTGGCAGTAGGGATGGGCCTGGCTATCGTGCGAGCCCCTCCATGGCCAGCTAATCCTGGCTCCTTCCCTCAGGCCTGTGCCCCTCTGGGGAGTGGGCAGGTTCCCGGAGGAGGAGGCTGATGTCAGCTGGAGAAGAAGCTGATCCTGGGCCCCAGGACAGCATGAAGGGAGCAGGAGCTTGGGGATCCCTGACATACATGGACAGTAGTCCCTTAATGTCGTCTGCACGCTGGACGACTGTGGGGCTCTGGGATAGGGAGGAGGGATGGGAGAGGGGGCCAAGCCCTCTGGGCCAAGCCAACGATGATTATCAAGAACAGGAAGCTAGGATGCCACAGAGGTGGGGGAGGAGGAAGCAGGCAGAACCTTCCCCCTACTGGTCTGTGGTGCCCCCCAGTTTCCAGGGTCCCAGCCCATTGCCAAGAGCTCACCCTCAGCCCTCACAGGCTAGGGCTTGGCAGTGGTTCGAGCATCGGGAGCTGAGCTTTTAGGCAGAGAGCAAAGGAGCTGGGCGCCAGGATGTGGGGAAGGCGGCTGGGGTGAGGGGAGTAGTGGCCGGGCTTCAGGCCAGACCTTGACGATGTCCCAGGTCCCTCTGAGTGGGTGGGACATGGTGATGGTCACTCCTTGCCTCCTGCCCACTCCCCTGCTCTGCTTAGAGTGCCTGGACAGCCCGACGTGGTGTGGTCAAGGCTTGGAGGTGTGAGGTACCAGCCTCTCAAATGGGACAAGCACGTGTCATCTCTCCCTGTCCCATCTTGGCTGTTGGGAGGCCCCTGAGACTGAGTCCTGCCTCCCAGACCTTCTCACACCAGGGCAAGACTGTCCCAGGCAGCTCTCAAACTTCCATCATCAAATTGCCAATTTGTCTTTCAGCTGGGGCTGAGGGTCCAGACACCCTCAACTCCAGAGAGAGCATCTTAAGAGCTGGAAGCAAGGAAGAACTGTGTGTAATGAGCCTCCACTGTGAGCCTCGGCTGTGTGACCTGGGGCAAGTTGCTGAGCCTCCCGGAGTCTCCTCCAGCTCCAGACGTGTCCCTGCCCACCTGCTGCTGTGAGGCTCTTGCTCACAGCTGAGTGCTCTGGATGTGTCCGTGGCGGGAGGCAAGAGAGAAGCTGGCGGGTTCTGGGCTGGGCGTGGTGCCCAGGTAGAGGAGACCATGGTCACTGAGCCTCGCTTCACCAGACTCTGCACCCCTCCCCCATCTCTAAGGAGAAGGTTGCCTGGGCCCTTTCACCCAGCAGTGGGGAAATTCTGGAGCAAGCTACTCCCAGGTCTCCTCACAGAGCCCAGAGAGGGCAGAGGAGCCTGCCAGGCTAGACCCAGCTGGGAGGGGATGCTGCAGCCGATCTGAAGCTGCAGTGGGTGCCCTCACCCCTCCCAGCTCTGACTCTCCTGTCTCCCTTCTCTGGTCATTCCCAATACCAGGGGCTCCCAACCCCAGCTCTCAGGAGCCCCGGGTGGGGAGGGATGGTCCTGGCAGTCTCCAGGGAGCAGGGGGCTCCTTGCCTGGCTGTGGGCAGCAAAGCTGCCACCTTATAGAATTCCAAGGGGCATCTTGAGAAGAAGGGCGGCTGCTGGGGCTGGACTCCTGGGTCCTGCACGCCATCCCCGACCCACTCTCCTACTTAGCTGCTCTCCTCTGTCCTCTCTGGAGAAGCCCCGGAATCCAGGTGGTTGCTCCTGAGCCCTCACTGCACCCCAGATCCTGGGTCAGCCCCTACTTTACAGGCCCAGGCCTGAACCTGGTCAGGTGGGGGACACAGGGAGCCTCTTCCAGGAGGAGGCAGGGAACACCATGGAGACACAGGTGAGTGGGAGAGAGCAGCTGGAGGGGACACGAGTGGGCTCTGGGCCTCCCAGTGTGGAGGTGGGGAGGAGGGAGACCTGTCAGGCACGCCCCAGGCTATACCCGGTGCTGCGGCATCCCAGATCCAACCCCCAACCCGACCCAGTTTCCCTCCTGCTACCTTTTGGGCTCTTTCTGGTGAAGGGACTTTCCCGTCCCCTCTCACGCTGCTGAGAGGACCAGCATCTAGGCCAGCTCAGCTCAGGAGGGTCCGGCAGCCTCCCCGGCGCTCCAGGGACGAGCCTGTCTTTTGCCTGTCCTCGGAGCTGGTTCCTCCGGCTCTCCTAGGCCCAGGGCTGGGGGGATGGACTTGTGCTCCACCATGTGGCCCTGTCTTTCCAGAGGCCTCCCCGGCTTCCTACCCTCCATATTGGCCCTGGACAGCCCCTCGTGTGTACATCCTGACAGGTGTGTGCACGCTCACCACCCTCGTGTGCATGCCTGCACACACACTGTGAGGGCCACATAGCCCACCCCAGTCTGCTGCCTTCCCTTGACCTGTTGCCGGGCCCAAGGCTTTGCCATCCTAGCAACCTTCCTCGGGTGTGGGAGGGAGAGTGCGAGACTTGGCTGCCCTGAGCCGCTGCCCTCTCCTGCCTGGTGGGTGATTATCTTCCTGCAGTGGGGCAGGGGGCAGGGTGATGCCCAAGGCCTGGCTGTGGGCCATGCGAGTAGGAGGCGAGCGGAAGGGCACTGCCTGGGCCAGCTGCGGAAGAGCCTGGCCAGCTCCCATGTGGGAACCCGGACGCCTGGACCTGCCCCTGCCTCCCTGCCTGCTGGCTGGCTCTCCCCAGGAGCAACGAGTAAGGTGCTGAGACCTTAGGAGGACCCCAGGGGTTCTCTAGGGAGAGGATGTGGGTTTGTCGGTGGGGGTGGTGCCGGGGAGGAACTACAGTCATCGCGGTACTTTTTTTTCCGAAGGGAGAGGCTTGGGCTGGGAGGCTGCTTCTTCTGTCAGACTTTTCTGCAACCCCTCTGGAGCCCCCTCTCCCATCCCCAAGGCTGCTCTGTCTGGGTGGGGAGCTGGCGGCTGTGCCTTCCATGGCTCTCTGCATAGGAGTAACTGGATCTGTGCTGTCCCCCACAGGCCTCTCGTCTGTGGGACCCTTGGGCAGGTTCTGGGACCACTCTCTTGCCTGTATCCTCCTGCATCTCTTCTGCTCAGATCCCGAATTAGCATGCCCCCTCCCCAAACCCCCCCTTGAAGGCTGCTGCTTAAGACCACTAGAGAGAGCAAGTGAGGGGTCCCCCTGTGAGGTGGGATGCTGGAGGCAGGAGGGTGGGACAGTTCTCTACGCTTTGCCAGACTGGGGACCTCTCTCCTGTCACATCAGTTTCCCTAATTGATGCCTCTCCCTTCAAAAGCACACACGTACGCATATGTACACACACACACACACACACACACACACACGCACACGTGGCTGGGAAAATCTGATGAGTTTGCAGTGCTGAGTTTCCAGGCCCCTCTCCAGGGCTGGGTGGGCGGCTCTGAGGTTTGGGCTGGGTGGAACGGGGGAGGGCAGGCAGGCCCTGGCTGTGGCCTGAGCGGGCGATCTCGGGAGCCTGGCTCCCTCAGAAGCTGTCTCAGCATCTGGAGCCCCTCTACCTGCTGGTTTTCTGCAAGACGCCCCCCTGCCACTTCACTTCCTGGGTTTGCACTGAGTCCTGGGCTTCCTTCCCAGGGCTCAGAGCCATTTCTTCTGCCCTCTCCCGTCCCACCCTTGGCATCACGGGGTGGGAGCCACCGGTGAGCACCTCAAGGTACGTAGCTGGCTCTAGTGGGGTAAAGTGGGGCACGTCCCAGTGTCTTCTGGGCCAGGCGTCTGCAGCACCTGTAGCAGGTGGGGGCTGGGAGTGGCATGGGAGCCTGGGTGGCTGCCACTGATTTGGTAGAGGAAGAAAAATCCTAAGGACTTAACTTGCTCCCTAGAGGGTTCCAAGCCAAGAGGACCCGAGTTAAGGGGTCAGGAGCCGGGTTTGCCATCTCTGTCCTATGGAGTCCCAAGTCTCAGGTTCAAGTCCAGTCTCCTGCTTGCATGTGGGACTGAGGCTGAAGTCTCTCTGAGATTCAGCTTCCCCATCTGGGCAGTGAGGGGATGGGATGAGATGGGTCCCCAGGCTCGGGCAGGTCTAGATCAGCAATCGCCAAGACTCAGGAGCCCAAAGTTTGTCCTCCTCTGCCTCTGTCTACAAGAGCCTGGTGCCACCTGGCCACATGAAGGGGCACACCCAGCTGGCCCCCACCCAGTACTCAGGACCACACACCCACACACGCACACACGGGCCGCAGACACCCTGTCCCTCTCCCCCGTGTGGGCGAAGCTTGTAGATACCACACCCCTTTCTGTCTTCCAGGGTCCGGGCGTGGGAGCAGCTGCCTCTGCAGTGTGTCCATTTGCAAGGCCATCCCTCCTGTGGCCTTCCCCAAGAGCACAGGCTTGTTCCTCCCTGGAGAGCTGACTGCTGGAGGAGGGCGGAGGTGGCAGAAGCAGAGGGAGGGGGCTTGTCTGTATGTTGACAGCTATGGTCCCCTTCCTCCTTCTGCCCACCCCCCC